CCACACATGACCCACAATAGATATGTTAAAGAGGAAGCGGCCTGGCTGTGCGGTTGTTCTCATGTTCCATTTTTCTAACATTCATAAATGACAACCAGGGAAAAAAAATGGGTACATTGGTTATGTGGATGGTCAAATATATGTGAATTAACTGTGCAATAATTAAAATGCAGCAAGTACTTTAGTGGCAGACATCTCAGAATGCACATGAAAATAATAATTCCATTGAAGGAGAGAGAGAGGGAGAGATGGATGCAAGTATGATCAAGATTAAAATCTTATCACTGTCTCTTAAACTTACAGTAAATTCAAGCAACTTTTCATTCCTTTCCTTCCTCTCATTCTCCGTGAACCCATCTATAATACCTCATTTCTTCATATTAGTCGGCAAAAGACTAACAACAACAGAAATAACAACAGAACCATCGGCTTTACGAACTATATCTACTAAACCCTATCTGAATTTGGATTTGAGGGAAAAGCAGCCTCTGTTGCTGCCACCACCAAGCCAAGACCAAATGGCCATTTTGCAGAAAGTCAGGTGGTGATACTAGAGAAACATCTGGATGTAGGAACAAAATGGCTGCCTCCTGCCAAAACGAGCACACATGAGCCACCCTGCTACTCACTCCTTCCAAATTAGCTTTGATATTTCCTCTGCCTACCACTCAAAGTGAAATTGGAATCTCTGAGCAACAAGGATAAAATCCCTCCTATTTCCAACTTCCCAAACAGGAAGCAGCTCAGGTAAGAAAACAAGATCAGCAAACAATTCTGGCAAGCTTATACAATTGTTAAGGAGGTATCAACCTGGCTGTACAATCGATCTCACGTTCCTTTTTTAAAAAAAAAATCATGAAAATCCATAAATGGCAATCTACAAATAATCAGTGTTGAGTGTTATACTTGGTATATTTATTTATTAGTTATCAAATATATGGTCAAATACCTGGCACAATCAATTAAAAGTGCATCAACGATTTTAATGACAAAAATATCAGAATGCATACTTTTTGTTTTCGCAGAAGTTGTTTCATCAAAGATTACATTATTAAACAGGTAAAACCAACACAAGGAAAAAAAGAAGTGAATCTTCATCCCCAACAAGTGTAATGAAAATTAACAACTTATAAATTTCTCTTAAAGTAAAACCAAGAAACTTCTTCATCCTATTCATCACTCCATTCTCTCTAAACCCGTCTCTAAAACATCTTTAGCCTCCAATCTCTATCCACTAAGATTAACCAGCAAAAGCCATGAAGGGTGTTATGCAACCTACCTATTATAAACTATTATCTACAAAACCCTATTTGAAATCTTAACACATAATATATTCTTTTCTCCTCTGCTCCTCAATCATGATAGAAAAAGTTTACTGATTCAGCGATAAAAGCAGTGATGAAAGACCCAAAATCTATCCTGGTTCCAGCATGCAGGAAAGGCCTGAAGAGCCTGGCCTAATTCAGAAGAAGGATTCATTCCTGTATCTTTATGCTGAGAATGTGGCACCCCAAAGTTGCGCTGCAACGAAAGTGGAAAACACCGGGACGATTAATTTGAGAGGAAGGTAAGGCGAGGAAAGCCCGGGTTGAACCAGCCAAGTAAAGAAGCGGAAACAGCAGCCTCCAGAGAGAAATCCGCTGGGTGGGATTTACAAGAGCGGATGGGCAGACCAAGGAGTTGCTGTTGAGGTGGGTAAGAACCTGCTCCCCAAATTATAACAAGTATTGACGCTTCCCTTCCAATCCACAAATCTAACTCTAGTCCATTTTGACATACACCCCCCCAACCCACTGAGTTTCCAGGGATCTCTAGAGGGAGGGATTCCCAGATGGACTCGAGGAGGGGAGAGAAGCCCCCCCCCTCCATTCATGACTGCAGGACCCTCCTCTGCCCCCTCCCTCCCCCTTGCACTGGGGACATCATCAGTTGGATGATTGTCAGTCTTGTTAGGATATCAAATTCAGGAGCTGGAACAGGAAAGTGTCCAATGGGGGAAGAGCTGATTGGTTGGGCTGGCTTCTGCATGAGGCAATCCACGTTATGATTGGTTGCTGTGGGTATAAAGGGGGAGTTTCCCTTTTTTCCCGCCTTTTTTCTTGTCTGTATTCCATGTGCCGTTTGATTTACCTCACGATGTTCCTGACTATCTTGTCTGCTACAACTATAAATGTTAAATATATTTGTATATTATCTAAACTACAAGTTTGCGTCAGTGTCTTTTGACTTCATCTGGACAGCTGCTCCGTCATTCTCTGACCAATCTCCTCTTTGAAGCTCTCTGAGCCTCCTGATCCAAGAGAGTCAGATCCTGAGAGGGGCCACAGTCTGGCCTTGCAGGATAAGCGTCTGGGGGCAGGCAGAGCCCTCCCTTCCCAGAGCCCCTCTGGATCTCCCCCAAATTCCTCCCCTTGAAGCGCTTGAGATGAACAGGAGAGAGAAGAGGGATTTCCCAAAGCATCTTCACCATCACTTGGTCCTTGGACCTCAAAGCCCCCCGTTTCCCTCCCTTCCTCCTCCCCACACAGACCCCAGTGGGGCCACTCACCTGCAAAGAGGCTGCTAAATGGGTGGCTTCTTCCCTGCATTGGAGATAAAAAACACAGAGTGAGTCCCTGCCTTGCCCTGGTCTGTTTGTCTGTCTCTCTCTCTCTGTCTCTCTCTCTCTGTCTCTCTCTCTCTCTCTGTCTCTGTCTCTCTTCACCATGCAACCTCTCAGTTTCATGAATCTCTCCACGGAGAGTAGAATATGCCACCAGAACGGTCTCTAATCTGTCAGGCCCGTCTCCGTTCAAAAGAAACCCCGCCCCAACTCCATTGATTTAGAGAAGAGGTACTTTTACTAAGTGTGAAGTGATAGCAGCAAAAGCAAGGCAAGATCTGATTCAAAACACACAAAAGTTAGACTGAAAGTCAGCCCAAATCCCTACCCCCTCCACCCCCACGCAAAGGTCCAACACTGAGAGTCCAATCGACATCCAGTATGATATTACGAGAAAGCCCATCTTCAGGTGTTTCTCCCAGCTAGAGTCTCAGGGCGGTTGGCCTTGACAGAGCGAAAACACCTCCCTTCAGCAGCGCCATATTCCATGAGTGCTATTACTATGGCGGCCGATAGCAAGCACACTGAAGAAACCCATGCTGGAGATTCAGCTGGAACTCATGGCATTTGTTGTAGTTAGCCGGCAGCAGGTGCAGGCTGTGGCTGAGGAGAGCGAGGACTCAGATGAGGGGCCAGGACCATTAGGGAGTAGACCGCTGCCTTCAGAGATAATGGGGGCTGGCAGCAGCGATGAGGAGGTTCCCGAGAAGCCTGTGCCAAGTGAGCGCAGGATGGATCGTAGGAAAGAGCAGCTGCAACAGCATGGGCGACTCGGGAGTAAGGCTGCAAGGTAATGGCCCCTCCTTCAAGAAGATAAAAGCCATCTGTGAAGCGAAAGTTCTTTGCAGAAGGCAAAGACATTTTGAAATTCCAGCCTCGTGGACATTCCAGTATCCTGAGTTTGTATTTGAAGATTCTTATTTTACAAATTATTTCTGGTCTGTTATCTTTTGGCAAGTCGTCCGCAGTTTGGCAAGACTTGTGCTTATCACAGCCAATTATTTTGTAAAAGCATTACAAAGTTTCTATGTGTTTGATTTGTTGGAAAAGGGCGTGGGTCAGAACAGCATTTCTAATGGACTCCACATTCCCTCTCACTCTCCCCACACAGTCCCAACTCATTGCTTCAAAGGGGGCTTCCTTCCCAGCCTGAAGGAATGAGACTGAACGATCCAACAGGGAGAGAACGCTTCCTTTTCTCCTTTGGGGGAGCAAAGCAATGCGAGGAAAGTGAATTTTTTAACTGTCAGAAAACAAGGAAATGAGAAGAGGTGCAAAAAAAGAGGAAGACTTGTTTATGCGCAGCGTAAAAGGGGAAACATGTAAAAAAGGGGAACAAAATTATTAAAAGCGAAGGAAAATGGAGGACTTTGGTAACTCTGTGACAGGCAGAAAGCAAGCAATACAGGTAGTCCTCAACTTACAACAATTCACTTAGTGACCGGTCATAGTTGCAACAGCACTGAAAAACGTGACTTATGGCAACTGATTAAGGAGAAACTTTCTGACAGGGAGAACAATCAACCCATGGAACAGAAATTGCCCTCAGAAGTTGTGGGAGCGCCATCACTTGAGACTTTCAAGAGAGAGATCTGTCATAAATGGTGCAGGGTCTCCTGCTTGGGTGTGGGGTTGGACTAGATGACCCACAAGGTCCCTTCCAACTCTGATTATCTGTTATCTGAACAGCTTTGCCTCGGAGGTTGTGGGAGCATTATCACTTGAGACCTTCAAGAAGAGATTGGACTCCCATCTGTCAGAAATGGTGTAGGGTCTCCTGCTTGGGCAGGGGGGGTTGGACTAGATGACCCACAAGATCCCTTCCAACTCTGATTATCTGTTATCTGTTTAATATTTATGACCATTGCCGTGTCCTGGGGTCATGCGATCCTCTTTTGTGACCTTCGGATGAACACAGCCAATGGGGAACCTAGATGCACTTCTCAACCGTGTTACTAAATTAACAATGGTCAACAACTTCATTTAACTGGGGCCAGAAAGTTGGTAAAATGAGGTAAAACTCACTTAAGAAAGGTCTCACTTTAATGACAGAAATTTGGGGCTCCATTGTGGTCGTAATTCGAGGACTACCTATACTTTCACTCAATGCCTTTTCAGTCAGAAGCTACTTTTCCAATCCTATACAGGTAGTCCTCGACTTACAACCACAATGGAGCTGAAAATTTATGTTGCTAAGTGAGACCTTTGTTAAGTGAGTTTCGCCTCATCTTACAAACTTTCTGGCCGCAGTTAAATGAAGTTGTTGACCGTTGTTGACTTAGTAACATGGTTGTGAAGTGAATCTGGTTTCCTCATTGACTCTCCTTATCAGAAAGTCCCAAAAGGGGATCCCATAATTCCGGGGATCCCACAACCGTCATAAATGGGAGCATCCAACTATAAATCACACGGCCATGGGGAAGCTGCAACGGTCACCCGTGTGAAAAATGGTCGTTAAGTCACTTTGTGCACGGCCGTTGTAACTTTGAACGGTCACTAAATGAACTGCTGTATGATGAGTGATACCTGTATTATCGTAAGGTAAAGGTTCCCCTCGCACATATCTGCTAGTCGTTTCCAGCTCTAGGGGGCGGTGTTCACCTCCGTGACAAAGCCGAAGAGCCAGCGTTGTCGGAAGACGTCTCCGTGGTCATGTGGCCAACATGACTAAACGCCGAAGGCGCACGGAACGCTGTTCCCTTCCTACTGAAGGGATCCCTATTTTTCTACTTGCATTTTTTACATGCTTTCGAACTACTACGTTGGCAGAAGCTGAGACAAGCAACGGGAGCTCACTCCATTACGCGGTGCTAGAGATTCGAACCACCGGACTACCAACCTTTCTGATCGACAAGTCTTAGCTTGTCTTAGCCACCGAGCCACCGCGTCCCACTGTCTTATTGTAGGCTGGTGTAAAGTAAGGCTAATTGCTTGTGAACAATACGTCCTCTGAATAAACACAAAAACCCCACAATTGTCCCACCCACTGCTGTTCTTCACTCAGGAGTGGCTCCTTCCAGCTTACCTGAATTGAAAGATCCGTTATCACTTTCTGGAAAAGAAAAGGGTATGCGATTGGGGTGGGATGCTACCGATTCTGCCCGGCTCTACAGAACCAGTAGCTCAGAAGAACAACAGACACAGAACCGGTTCTGTGCCTGCTGCTGTTTTGACCCACCCGCCCATCCGGGCTCTTACCTGTCCCTTATTTTCTGCTTTTTCAACCACAGATGATTTGCGCGGCACAGCTGTGGTTGAAAAAGCAGGAAAAAAGGGCTTTTCCAACCGCTGCGCACCCGCACTCTGGACTGCTCAGCATGCTGTCATGTGGACGCTCGCGCAGCGCCTGTCAGGCGTGCATAGCATCGAACCGGTAGTTACACCGATCGGATCGGTGTGGTGCGACAGGAGGAGATGGTGAAACTTGGGATGTTTCTGGTTCCAGCTCCTTCCCTCCCACAGACACATACACACAAAAACACACAAATGCACCCAAAGCTTTCAACCAATTTAGGTTCATCTAAGAGACATAGGAAAGAATTCTTAACATTTCTATATCTCCACACAGAGCAATAGTTCAGCAATTCTTCCATCAGAGGCCTCACATGACATGAGGATACAGATGACTGCAGAGCTAGTTTTCCCAATCAGTTCCTAATTGGAGAGTCTTGTGGTGGGGGACCAAGAGGAGATCCAGCTGGCATCCACCAAAGCCCCTTTTCTCTCAAAATGCCTCCTTTTGATCATCGCTTTTACGGAGCTTCCTGACTACGTTATGGCCAACCTGTTCCTGATGTAAAATAATGCTAATTGTTTGTGAACAATATGAATAAACACAAAAAACCCACAATTGTCCCACCCACTGCTGTT